CTGTGCCTCTGTGCAATATTGGGCCTCTGAAGGTTCCATAGGTATCTTCAGGGAAGCAGTGGTCTGATTGGACACTGCAACACTGGATGACCTTGGTGGCCATATTTGGTGCGGACAATGCCAATAAATAGCAGTGCCCCACTGCATTTGGCACACATTCTGTGATTGGTTAGTGTAGGGGGAAGAACCACGCATGTCAGGGACAGTGATTTGGGCAGGCCATACATTATATTTTTTTTTTCATTCAACCAGTGGGTGCCAATTCCCCCATTCCCACATTTTTGGTATTTCCACCATGAATTATATTTTCCTAGGTCCTTGGCCAGTTTACCAATATGATGAGCACAACCCCCTGTTGGTATAATTCACCTGTTTTCAAATCTTCACTCTGTGCTCATCACTTTTCCCTTTGCTATTTTGTTGTATCCTAGATCAACCAAACAATTCCGAAGAAGAAAATTGTGCAGTTATTCGGACAGAGTCCTTAGGTGCTTGGCAGAACCGTAACTGTTATAATGGCCTACCCTACGTATGTAAGAAAAGCTCGAAGAGAAGTCTTCCTCCTGTAGGTGAGTCTGTAGCACAGTTGCAAATTTGCAACTAACACTTTCCTGTCTCTTCATCTCCATAAGCAGAAAAAAAATCAGAGAAGGCAGACAACACATCTTGGGATTCCAGTACAGCAGGGGCATTGTATTGTCAGCTTACCACAAGTTAGGAGCTCATGGCTTTTTGTGCAGACATACACTTTAATTGTCAGTTGGAAAAAAAGGTTTATCACCAAGGAAAACAGAGTAAAAGTTGTTGCTTCCCTGTGGGTATCCTATGACAGTATGTCATAGTCCTTAAGTCTTTAATTAATGACATAGGAAGTAATAGTGAAGGACCATTTCCAATTGTACTATTTTTTCTTGTTTATATTTATAGTATTACATTTTACTAATAGGTATTATAGGGTTGGAAATTGGAACAGAGCCTTCTAGTTTCACTATGATGTGTCATAAAGATTCTTAAACTAGATTTTGAAACCTACAGAATTTTATTCCATATTGGCCTGTTCTTGCGTACACAAGTCAGTTAGTAATGACTAATGAGGTAGGTTGATAAAAAAAACAGACATTTGTAAACTTTTGAGCCCTAATAAATTTGTCCACTAATTAGATATTTTAATGGATGTGTGTATATTATATCAGGCTAGAGGTGTTGACTGTCCAAAATCCCTTAAGTACATTTTTGGCTCCACACAGATAATGTTATCAAACCTCTTCTAATGCCTTCTGTTTCCAACAGAACCCATTGAACCAGATGTTGTTGTGCAATGTGATCCTGGATGGCAGAGTTATGGCACTAACTGCTACCGTTTAAACAATGACAAGAGAAGCTGGCAGGAGGCTAGGAAGGCATGTGTACGGGGAGAGGGGAACCTAGCCAGTGTTCATAGCCTACTGGAGCTAGAATATATTACCAAGCAGATTAAACAAGGTGAGTCCTGTATGACAGAAAACATCCATAGCCACATGTGTAGCAGCAAAAGTTGATAAGAAGCTGAAAGCCCCTTGGTCCAAATGTGTTTTTATGTTTTCACATTTGATGGCATGACCTCTGATGAAACCACGAAACCAATGTGGCAGACTGCCATGTGTTTGTTTTCAGAGTTCCCTACTATAGTAGATATAAGGCTATTTCTTCATTGGAAGACCATGTTCTGGTATTACGAGAAGTAGCCATCCCTGTCCTGTACATTTTGGTCTACTGGAGTGAACCCATCTTGGCACCTTTTCTTATCCCCGATGCAACTGTATGCTAAAGATTACCAGCTCCCCAGACATAGGACAGTTCTAGCTCTGGAACAGTTCTCTCTTCTGCTGTACTACATTTTCTTGTGTGGCTTTCTGCATGTGCAAGGGTCCAGAGACATTATATGACCATCTCCCAATACAGCTGTTTTGGGCCAGATCAAGTGACAACCAGTTGATGGTTTTGAACAATCTTTCCAGTATGTAGAAAGCCATTAGCTGGGTTGTCCTTGCCTGATCACTGTTTTATATGTGAAATAAGTGGACACTAAGTCTTGTCTGTGCAGTGCACTGCTTCACTCTGCTGCCTCTATTACCCCAAAACAGGTGCACTTGTGAGATCAAAGTTTTCTCAACAGCAAAGGATAGGCCCAAAGACATTCTTGAAGCTTCAGTGGCACTTAACTTAATAATATGAATGACTGAGAGGTCACTTTAGCATGCTTTAAATGAACTTTAGGGTACCTAAGGTTCTACTTGAAACTTGGTTATCCATTGCCATTGTCATGCAGATCTTCATTAAACCAGTATTAAACCCAAAATAAAGATGTAATTTATTGCAACATACCAATCCTTATTGTCATTGCATTAGTTATTAGTTTTTATGCCTTTTTCCCTGTTGTCCTTTGGTAATCTGGCCAGTAACACGCTTTCTGTATTTGAGTGTCTCCACTCTAAATGAAGGAGCACATTTGGACAGCATCGCTGTCAGTCTGGGGAGAGGGGAGAATTAGATGTACTGGCAAATTTAGATACACTAACAAACTGAAGGCCACTCCAGCTAATACTATGTTACAGAAAACATTTTTTTCCTTTTGGGATAAAGGTTTTACATAAATAAATAAAAACTGATCTCTGTAAGCATCCCTTCCAGTATTAAATGGTTTGTCTCTTCCATGTAACTGCAAGACGGCCTGTTCTCTTCTATTCTCTACAAACATGAGACACTTCCTGTTCTTATTGAGGGGAATAGTAAAAACAAGTGCAGTTTCAGTGAACACCCAATAGATGGTTCCCTACCCAACACAATGATGATATACAGAACATACTCTATATATATACTCATATATATATACATACTCACTGACCACTTTATTGCTAATGCCAACAAAATATCCCTCACACCATTACACCACCACCAGCTTGAACTGTTGATACAGAGCAGGATAGACACATGCTTTCATGTTGTTTGCGCCAAATTGTGACCCTACCATCTGCATGTCGCATCTGACATCACAAGGCATTTTCATCCGCTCACTGGATATTTTCACTTTTTCTGACCATTCTCTGTAAACCCTAGAGAAAACCTAGATGGTGGTGCGTGTGAAAATCCCAGTATATCAGCAGTTTTTTTAAATACTCAGACCAGCCCATCTGGCACCAACAACCATGCCACATTCAAAGTCACTTAAAACCCCTTTCTTCCCCATTCTGATGCTTGGTTTGAACTTCAGCAAGTCGTCTTCACCATGTCTATATGCCTAAATGCATTGAGTTGCTGCCATGTGATTGGCTGATTAGCAGTTTGTGTTACCAAGCAATAGAACAGGTGTACCTAATAAAGTGGCCAGTGAGTGTATATATATATATATATATATATACTGTATACATCAATATGGACCTGGCTAATTGGGCTGTCTCTATATTGATATTTAATTACAAACTTTATACAGAAGCAAACTTTTCCTTTCTTTTTACCAGGTATTGATACATATATGGCAAATAGGAAGAACACTTTCACAAATGTAAAAGATTTTTGATTCCCTTTAGAACACGGCTGTAAACAAGGCCAGTTTGGTTCTCGTGCAATTAATTTTGCAGATTGCTGAACACAAACAGTCTGGCCGGCTGTAGCTTTTGGCCTCGTTGGGTCTCTTTCAGTCATCTGTTCTTTGCATTGGAGAAGCGCTGACTCTGCATTCTATTGAAATTTAGATACAGTGGCCAGCCTGGTGGGGAAGAGGAATCGTTTCATAAACCATTATGTTGCCTATATAAAAGTTTATCCTTTTTGGAAAGTAATTGTATGCATTTTTCTTTATCAATGAAAAGTTTACTTTAAAGCAGTATTAAACCCAAAAGCAAGCATTTATTTTTGCAGCTTACGAATTCTTAGATTTGTTGGCTGTATTAGTTTTTTTCTTTTAGGCTTTATCTCTTCTATTTTCATCTGGTGATCCAGTCAATGAGTCTGTTGTTTTACAAAAGAACAAGTTATTTTCCAGATTTATCAGTTTACAGGAATGAGACATTAGCGAGGGTGCTTACAATGTTCAGTGTTTATTCACTCATGTAAATCCTTTATTTATTTATCCCAAAAGAAAAAACATGTTTGCTGTAACTGGTTATACAGTGTGATCTGGAGTTTGGCTTCAATGTGTTAGTGTATTTAAATGTGCTACTTCATTTAACACTGCCCTCCCCCAAACTGTCAATGCTGCTGTCTTCTGTGCCCTCTGTGCTCATTCATCCAGAGTGGGGGCACTGTAATCCAGGAGGTGTGTTACTGGCCAGATCACCAGGTGAAAATAGAGGAAAAAAGGGTAAAAAAAGAAAACTAATGCAGCCACCACATCTAAAGATTGGTAAGCTGCAGTATATTAGATTTTTGGTTTTGGGTTTAAATAACACTTTAATAACAAATTAAAAAGAAAAATCCCTAGTCTTAGAAAACATTTGTTTATCAATTTTATTCAATGATTGTAAGTTTGTAAGCTTCTAAACTATTTGTTTTTAAATTTTTGATGCTTTGTAAAAAACTATTATTTTACAAATAAGTGTTTTTTACAGGATACATTCCAGGAGGGCTGTCATCTCATGTCTATGGTTACAAATAGTTGAATATTGGAGATGCTTTAATACTAACATAGACTCTGGGAATTGTGTCCACTTCGCTTGTCATTAGCTTGAAGTTTTATAACCCATTCCAGCCAGATTCAGCAGGCTGCTTACAGTGATTGTGAGCAGGACAGCAGCCTCTTATCACATGGCTTCATGATGTACAACTGCTCTCTCTGGCAGGCACTAAGGGCGGAGCTTTAAAATTGGGAACATTTGGCTTGGCGTAGACATTTATTCCTTCTCCTCAGCTTTTTAGAAGCTTGATTTAGATTTTTCTCAAAGTCGAATTCTCTGCAGAATATTATTTATATTCCTCCAGATGTGGAAGAGTTGTGGATTGGGCTTAATGACATCAAGCATCAAATGAGCTTTGAATGGTCAGATGGGAGTGCAGTTACCTTTACATCTTGGCATCCTTTTGAACCCAACAACTTTTGGGACAGCATGGAGGATTGTGTGACTATCTGGGGACCGGTGAGTCATGAACTGCTTTTAACAGTGTTTAGACTAGGCTTTCTCAACCATTTTACCCCAGAGGAACCCTTGAAATCATTTACAGATTTCAGGGAACCCCTGGTAAGGTCAGTCCATCAGGGAGTCATTTGGAAAATGGCCTTTACGTTGGTGGTGGTAAGTGGAAAATAATGGCCCTTGCAAGGTGGCCGGAATGACACCCTTGCAGTCATGGCGCCGGTTCTGCCAAGTGGCATTGATCCTGGAATTATGCAGCACCATCAAATGAGAGGTCAGAGCTCAAGGAACTCGTAGCCACCACTATTGTTCTACAGAACCCTGGCTGAGAATGGCTGGTTTATGCAATGATGTCTAGTTCTGTGATAAGGGTTATAGCAGTGGCAGCTCATTTTCAATCAAACTGACATTAAGTTTTATAACAACTCCTCCTATACATGCATCCCTTTCGGCCCCAAGCTCCCAAAGGATCCGGATACCAAAAGGTGATATGGCTTGTAAGAAGCTCCTACCTTTTAACATGTTGTTCATACTCCAATAGTAGGGTCTCCCTGCCATTAATCCTGACTTTGGGAGATTTGGGTGTTCCCGCCCACCATTGTGTGTTTCAGCTTCTCCTTTTACAGTCTTTTTACAATGTGAAATAAATGTCTATCAGGCAGAGTGGGAGCCCTTCAAAATGGTCACAGCAAGGGTTCAGAGAAAGAAGCTCACCATTGCAGAGATCTCACCAATAGGGCCCCAAGAGATAGACACAACTGTCAGTTGGTTTACCTCCAGCATCTCCCAAAAACTATGGTACCAAATTGAAATTCTGAGTGGACTAAATCAATAACACAATATTTGATTTTGGCAGTCAGCATATATCAGCTAAACAACATAATTTATTCCATTCACCTCAACTATTTTTTTTGTAAATTATGATTATTATAAAACACACAAATCATCCGCTTGTCTGAGACACTAACTAAACTCAGGTCAGCCCCTGACTAATAGGGTGCCTTATAATGGGTTCCCAAAAAAACAGGCTCTGGTACCTTTTTAGTGTTATTTATTATTACAGGTACTTATATGGTGCCATCAATTTACGTAGCGCTCTACACACACACACACACACACACACACATATATATATATATATATATATATAGTCCATTCACATCAGTCCCTAACCCCTCAAGGAGTGTACAATCTAAGGTCCCTAACTCACATTCATACATACACCTAGTAGGGCCAATTTAGACAGGAGTCAATTCACCTACCAGCATGTCTTTGGAGTGTGGGAGGAAACCCACACAGGCACAGGGAGTACATGCAAACTCCAGGCAGGTGGTGCTGTGGTTGGGACTCGAACCAACGACCCTAGTACTGCCAGGCAGAAGTGCTAACCATTTAGGCACTATGCTGCACTGTTCTGTTAGCAGTTAGCCTTTTCACTCAGCAGCAGGCTCCCACAGCAGAGAGGATGAAAGAGAGAGACCTGGGCATCAGTCAAGTGTGGACAGTTGAGGCTAACAATGAGGACTAGCTACCAGGTAAGATATGGATTTAGAGATTTAGGCCTTATCCCACCCAAAGCTCGACAAAGACTCCAGACTCCAGGACTCAGAACAGAAGGGCACTGGATGTTCAAATAAAGTGGAGTTATGGCTTAAGACATATTTTGTTTTTTTTTTTATAGTGTTTTGTCTCTTTTTAATGGTATCTGTTCTTAATAGGAGGGAAAATGGAACGACAGTCCATGCAACCAGACCCTGCCATCAATCTGTAAGAAACCTGGATTAGTCACACAAGGGAGCTCTGAGGACAATCATGGGTGCCAAAAGGTACTAGCAGGGTATGCTGGGATTTGTAGTTCCTTAATATCTGTTTAGCTTTAGCTTGCCTGTTCATTACGTTGACCAGAGATTGTATGTAGTAGGAGCTCATTGTAGGTTAAAAGTTAAATCAAATAATTTATTTTTTTCAATCAACTATATAACAGTGGCATCATAATAAGGACTGCAGTATAGTCTGAGGCTTGTATCATGAGCACACATCTTGAATTAATATTGTTTAAAGTTAAATCCAAGTTACTTTCAAGTCTTTACTTGCTGTGCCATATGTTATGGTTGTATTTCACATACCATATAAAAGTGAAGTACTGGAAGGATGTCAGCCCCAAACCTGTTTGGCTTTAGCTCTAAACTCAAACATTTTTGTCAGCACTCACGGTATATATGACATTAAATTTATTGAATAAATCCCAGAGTCAGTGTCAAAAAAATATGCATATCACATAGATTGTCGCTGACCAATCAGAATACATCTGGTCCGCCCTTGCAGTGCTGGGCAGAGAGGAAGAAAGCAGAGATTTCAGATTCTCAGACTGGTGGAGCTGCTTGTGACAGCTCAGGATCATGGGAGGTAAGTACTGCAGGACCAAGGGGTGGGGAAGGGGTGTGGTGTTAGGTCACCTTTACAGATTTTCTATAACAGTTGAAATAATCCATTAAAGACAAAAATAACTGCGCCATGAAATGCTGTCACAGTCTCAGCTGTCTCTAATTGTCTCTATTAGAGTGTTACTAAACCCAGGACCACTATATCTGGTCTCCCACAGTGCACAGAACATGAAAATGCAATTATTTTAGTAAATATAAACTGTACAGCTGTACATAGCAGCCTTGTGACTTCTATCAGTGTTCAGCTGAGCACTGGTTAAAGCTTATAGGAGGAATTTTCACTCTGCTCTGACTGTTCTATGAGGCTGCATGACCCCAATCTTCTGTATGGACAGTGCTGATTAGCCATGTACCAATCAATCTTATGCCCCCCCCCCCCCCCCCGAAAAAAACCTCTCTAGCAATACACACCAAACTGAGCATGTGCAGAGTGTCTCCTAGGACTCTGTACTATCAGCAGATGGATTGGGGACTGTGGAAAAAGGAGGGGATCAGAGAAGACAAGAACAAACAGCCTTTTTTACACAATGAGGAGGATTAACCCCTTAGGTTCCACAGTGAGTATAACAAGCATGCTTTACTGCATATACAGACTGATTTTACTGTTGTATCACTTTAATGGTCAGTTGGGACAGGCAGGAGCCTCAGCCTTTTTTTGTAAGAGCTGAATCTTTCATCAGTCTCTTGTCTACAGCTAGTGGTCTTGACCATCTTTTTTTAACAATTGGCTGTCTCAGCAGATTCTTAATTCATATGGCTCTTGGCCGCTGTTTTTTTTTTAAGGTGGCCATCCTAGCAGACTCCTGAACAAAGTGGCCACCTTAGCAGTCTCTTGTAAACGTACTGGCCTTTCACTTATAGACAGCATTTTCATGACTAGAGAGTACCTTTAGAGCACGGGTGTCAAACTGATGGCCCTCCGGCTGTTGCCAAACTACAAGTCCCATGAGGCATTGCAAGATTGACAGTTACAAGCATGACTCTCAAAGGCAGAGGCATGATGGGACTTGTAGTTTCGCAACAGCTGGAGGGCCACCAGTTTGACACCCCTGCTTTAGAGGATGTACTTATGGTGGATTGCTGGTGTATAGGCAGTGTGTATTCACTAATAGGACTTCATGTCTCACTAGTGGGTGCAGGTGTTAATAGTCATTGGCATAGCACTTAGTGATGTACTCACCTTGACACTGCACTTAAGTCTTAGTTTGTATTCGGCTGGTCAACCAGCCCTGTCTTGCTGAGTATTGACATTGGCATCCTCAAGGAGGAACTGTTGTGAAAGACACCCTCACACTTTGGGCCCAGAAGTGCTAAGTACAGAATAAGTTGTTTAGCTGCAAACTCTGTGGAAATTTCCTGTGAGAAGTGGCCCTGATGTTTTCTGTGCTATCTATGTCATCTAGCCTCCAGAATAATCTAAGCAGCACACCTGCTTGAATCTTCTCCAAAAAAAAGCATCGTTTTGTCACCTAGTAACCAACGTCCACCCACAAAGTAAATCAACTGTGTGTGAGAAGCTTGGCATTTTTGTCTCCGTTGATGTGCTCCTACGACTAAATTAAGGAATCAGACAGGAAATGATTGGTTGCATATGAGCAGAGGAAACTACAAAACAAGCCCAGTAGGCACAATGTACCGCTAGCACAAACTGTTGTGACAAATAGACAATTGTCACCATCTAGTGGAGATCACTGGCTTGACACAGTGCACTGGAAGATCAATACAGGTATACCTCGGTTTACGAACGCCTGTGTTAACGTAATTTTCGGTTTACAAATGAAAATCCACTTAAAATAATGCCTCAGTTTACAAGTTGTTTTTGCAATACGAATGGATTAATTGGTTTTCAATCCATTTATGATTTTTTTTTAATCATGTCCCTATACAGTACTATGCCACTTCCAGTCTGGACACTTTTACCCCCTTCCTGTCCAGGGCAATTTTCAGCTTTCAGCGCTATCACACTTTGAATGATGATTGCGCGGTCATGCAATACTGTACAGCTAGAAAAGGCGGGTGCCGTTTATGAACGGCAACCCGCCCCTGGAGTGCCACTGCCCTGCCGTTTATAAACAGCAGGCGGACAGCAAGAGGTTAAAGTGCACTTTATAAAGAGTTTTGAACAGATAACACTTTTTTCGACTTTTTTCTGACCTCCGGAACGGATTAATTGGTTTTCAATGCATAAATAATTTTTTTTTAAATCATGTCCCTTTATGCATTTAACGTGCACTTGATAAATAGTTTTGAACAAATAAAACTTTTTTTGACTTTTTTTTGACCTCTGGAACAGATTAATTGGTTTTCAATGCATTTACGAATTAATTTTTAATCATGTCCCTGTACAGTATTTATGCCTTTAAAGTGCACTTTATAAAGAGTTTTGAACAGATAAGACTTTTTTTACTTTTTTCTGACCTCCGGAATGGATTATTTGGTTTTCAATGCATTCCTATGGGAAACCACGTTTTGGTTTACAAATTTTTCACAATATGAAAAGTCCTGCAGAACAAATTAAATTCATAAACCGAAGTACGCCTGTACGTTTTTATTGTCTCGATATACCTGTAAAAAAGTGACTACTTCTAAATTATTTTATGTACAGTAAAGTTTAAACAGTATTCCACATTTCTCTAGGGCTGGAATTGGCACAGTCCCTCTTGCTACTGGTTGAGTGATGACCAAATCACGTACAATGAAGCTGTCAAGTCCTGCTCTGACCGCAGCTCTAGACTGGTCACTGTGCAGAACAGGTAGGTGACCCCAAGAGCAGGTATCGACTTATAAGTGCTCGCTTCACTTTTATGTCTGTAAATTATAAAAAGTAACTAAAGCACTTAGTGATACTAAAGTTTTGTAGACCCCATGAAACTACTTGTTAGTATATTAAAATTTTTCTTAAATGACATAATTGTCATAAACTGGTTTATGTAAAATAGATATTAAAGGAACCAAAAAAAACATATAAAAATGAACTTATGGCTCAAACCAATCCCAACCTTTATACTGATATTATTTAAATCTGATGGTAAAGGTGAAGCCTCAGATTTAAATTGATATCAGTATAAAGGTTGGGATTGGTTTGAGCCATTATAATGGCTTTTTTTTTTTTTTTTTTAATTATGGATATCGTGGACGGCTCTCATCAAGGTATTTGATAATATAGTTTGCATACACATTTCTCAGACCTAGTAGGATACTCTATTTGTTCTTTTTTTATATTTTAAAGGAACCCTGTAGCATTTTCAGAAGTCAACATTGACACATTTCATGCTTTGACAGTACAGGCCCTAATGAAATACAAAGCCCCCCCCCAGCATTACAATCTCACCTTTTCTGTGCACTTCATGACTCCATTCCGCAGATGAAAAAATACCTGGTGCTGCCAGCTATAGAAAAGCGTCTCACTCATTCCCTTTTCTCTCATGTAATAGCACTGGTATATGGTGCTTCCTTTAATTATGCCTGGTGGGTGAATTGAGTGGTGGGGAAGTGAAAGGCAGATAAGTAGTAGTCGGCGGTATAGTGATCTTGTTGCTTTGACCTACATGGGCAGAGTATTCATGTTAAATAAGTAAATACTCTGCCCCCTGGTATGCTGACCCAGCTGGAGCAAATTTATCTAATCTACAAACCTAAACTAGTGATAAGCATCTGATGCAAAATCAATGCCATGAACAAAAGCCAAGGTTCCATGAAGATTCTATGTAAAGCACTGAACACTTGTGGATTTGGTTATGAATATTAGTTTTTCAACAAAAGGGATGTGCTACATATTTTATGTTTTAATATTTTTGAGTTGGCCCTTTCAGCATTGATATTTGTTCTCTTGCTTTGTTTCATTCAGGTTTGAGCAGGCATTTGTTAATAGTCTTCTGTATGGATCAGACGGAAGCTATTACTGGACAGCATTGCAGGATCTGAACCGCACTGGAGTATTCACTTGGTACAATGGTGATGAAGTAACTTACACCCACTGGAATCGGGATGAACCTGGTATGCACCAAAACCCTGGCTAACCACTGTCATATGGAACTCCCACAGGCCAAATGTTCTCAGGGAAAACAGAATATTTTTTTGGGTGCAACATAATCTTTTTCTGATTTGGAACGTTAGCAAATCAATGGAGTCTGAGATCCAACTGCTTTAGAAATCAATGGAACCTGAGCCATCTCTCATGTCATGTTTTTGATGGAAGGCTGAAGAATTGCAAAGACATTTTTTTGTCAATACAGTGTGAAGCCACTGAATTATTTGAGTTTTACATGCTTGTTGCTAGGTCACACTCATCTGCTTCTTATAGGGTAGACTTTAATTGAGAATGATGATCACTTAGCAGTATGATTATTTTTACTTGAATTGTTGAAGCATTGAGACCAAGCATGACCTTCTCTATGACTCACATGATAAATGTGTGCTATATTACAATTACATAGGAAAGGTAAACATTGGTGACAAAAATATCATCCAAATTAACAGCTAACCACTTCCACTAACCACTGGTACTCCATTACAACAAGATTATCCAGATTAAAGTCTTCCATGCAAAATAAGGGGCACGTCTGATGCTCTTGGTGGTGCTCTTTACCATTAACTGGTTATCCTCTTTAAGTCAATGGATAGAGTTGGGAAGAAGAACTCTTGTTGGGTTTTCACTACTGCTATTCAAGGCTCCGTTAGAGAGATTTTTTCCTCATTTACTGCCACTGGGACAATCATTTTACCAGATGGGAAGTGAGGAAAAATTTTCAACATGCACACAGATGGAAAAAGCTGACAGAGGTTCTGGCTTTCCCCTTCTCTACTAAAACATTGTTTTTATTTTGAGCTTTGTTGTAGATTTTTCCTCAGTTCTTCTCTGGTGAAACTAATCGCACCGAAATACTAAGCGAGGGAAAATCTCTCTAAAGGAGCCCTGCACAGCAGTAAATATTTGGCAAAAGTTCAAATTCTTAGAAAATTTACTCCACATTCGCTTTATTCTAAGGTATCCATAACTTAATCTGCCTTCCTCTGGATCAGCTGTGGGTACAGGATTATAACTTTTTTTTTGTTTGTCTTTTAATGTTTGAACTGGATGGACTTTTGTTTTTTTTCAGCCAGACTAACTATGTAACTAAGGAAGAGATGCAACCAGGGGTGGACTGACAACTCATGGGGCCCCCGGGCAATAGGGGATCATGGGGACCCTGTGTCCTTGCCCAAACTCAAAAAAGCCTATGAAAAAGGTACCAGGGGCATCTCATGGGGCCCCCTACTGACCCCGGGCCCTCGGGCACTGCCCGAGTTTCCAAATGGTCAGTCCGCCCCTGGACGCAACTGTGTAGTTTTATGTTGTGTAATATTGTATATGCCATTATTACTATTTTTAATGACTCTCTGGGTTTTTTTTCTATACAGGCTATGATAAAGGGGGATGTGTTGTGTTGGCTACAGGACGCTCTCTTGGTCTTTGGGAGGTAAAGGACTGCGTTACATTCAGTGCAAAGTACATCTGTATGCAGAGCCTGATCCCAATGATCCCTCTGTTGCCTGCAGCTCGGCCCACACCCAGCCTTAACGGAAGCTGCCCAGATGGCTGGAGCTCTGCACCAAATCTAAGGCATTGCTACAAGGTGAGCACAGAAATGCGGATTAACTTGACAGTGCTATAACGAACATTTTGCTAGAAAGCCACATCATTTTTTAAACACAGCTATGGTTGGTGTTAGAGCAATATGTTTTTATCAGTAGTAACATATCAGACCTTGCTTGATATATGCAAATTGCAATCTACAGTATTCTGCAGCATATTACTGTGTAAATGAAGCCTTTCACACCGCTCATCGTTCCCAGTGGATCCAAGAGTTTAAGTGCTCATTCACACAGGTGTTGTGGCTGTACAGCATGAAATAGTGCTCTTTTCATGCAGTTGGAGCCACATGGAGCTGTGTGCAGGCATCCCATATTTCCCTATGGGGACACAGCAGCTGCTCACCTGTCACATTAGGAAGGGCTGTGTCTGTACAGCCACTCCATCCCCATAGAGTAACAAGAGTTGCCTGCATGCAGCTACAGGTGGCTTCAGCCACATGAACAAGACACTCATTCACTCTGTATGGGCCAGAACAAACATGTGAATGAGTCCTTATTATTCTGCCAAAACCATGCTGACATCCACACTCCAAGGCCAAATTCAACTGAAATAAGGGAGCCTACCAGTGCCTTTTCTTGGACTGTGACAGTAAATTGAAACAGTTGGAAGAAACTTAAAGTGGACCTTTTAGTAGCAGTACAATTTGGTATAAAGAACTTCCTGTTATGTCAAAAATACAGTTTAATTAAAAAACTCCACCTTTTTATCATTAAACAGTCAATGAACTCAATTCAAGTGACTTTTCCTAAACTGAGATTAGGTAATTTGTCTGCTGCAGGTGGAAGGAAACATTTCCTCAGTCCCCTTCTCCTCCCCAGTGATCAGACTGTTGCATTGTTACTAGTACAAAGTCACAAGGTGAGAGGTTGCAGCAGGGGCTGATCTATGTCAGAAGTTTGTGGACTCAGCCAAGAACTGACTAGGAACCAGGATTTACATGAATGTGTCATCACTGAGCTAGCTTATTGGCTATGTACTTGTTGTAAGAAAAGCAGATTAATGAATTGTCAGGGGGAGTTCTGTGGTTGGTAATACCTTTCACAATCACATATTATTCAGCATGCACTTACCATGACAACATGCTGTATATCTGATTCTAGCTCTGCTTTAAGCAGATGAGAGAACATATAAAGTCCATACAGGCAATGTCTTTGTTAAATAATCTACAAAGGACAATAGGCGGCCATACCATAGAGAAGACCACTGTTTTCTAATGAGTAAGAGCTGTCAGGATTGCTATTAGTTTTGCTGTCCAAATTTTGGGTTCTTGCTGTATGTATTTATTTTCTGTGTCCTCCTTTTTAGGTGTATCATTCGGAGAAGCTACAAGAGAAAAAGTCTTGGATTTCAGCTCAGCAGTCCTGCCGAGAAATTGGGGCTCAGCTGCTCAGTGTCTCCAGTGTAGGAGAAGAACACTATGTGGCTCATTTACTGAACAAAATATTTGGGTTGGTTCTCACTGTCCTCACACTCTTCCTTTGTAACCCTGCATCTGATTGGACCAGACTGATGGTTTTATACTTTCTCACAGTGAATCTGACCCGGAAAGTCATGAGCAGCACTGGTTTTGGATTGGTCTAAACCGCAGAGATCCCAGCGGTGATCAGAGTTGGGTCTGGAGCGATGGACAGGGGGTTAGTCAAATATTTACCACAATATAAAATGTATAGAGTAAACATATAAGTGGTAATAAGCACCCACAAACATTAAAACCTACAGTATGTTCCCATTTCACACAATAGTGGTAAGCAACCCTATCCGCAGCATGTAATCTAGACTTGAGTATCACTGGAGTTAGAAACCCACGCCATCCCATCTAATGATACCTATACACAGCGGCTGTTTTGAGCTCTTTATTGCACGAAATCCCTTGCAGTCCCCAGAAAGCAGCTGTTAAAGCTGTATAATAATCCACTTCTGTTTGGGACAGTATGTTGGCTTCCATAGGCATAGGGGTCCACTCTTACCTATGGGTACCCATTACATGTTACGAGTCTCATTACATTGATATGTGTTCCTAGCCGCTTGTTATCGGTCAATACAAAAAAGTCTACATGTATTGGAGGTGCCTTCAAAATGTCTACATGTAGTAGAGGTGTAAATGTTTCTACTAAGAGATCACAGGTAACTCAATTAATGCTGTGTATTTATTTCAGTATTCCTATCACAACTTTGACCGCAGCTATCAAGACAATGATGATATAAGAAGGTGTGTGGTGCTGGATCTGTCATCTTTACAGTGGGTGGCTATTGAGTGTGACTCTCAGATGGACTGGATTTGCAAGTTACCTAAAGGTATAGCTCCTTAACTTCCAACAGTTTCAGTATACTAGACAGTATTTGACAAAGCTGAATAAATGAATCATAATTAAACATTAACTCTGAGAACCATGATTTTAATATAATTAGATGTCCTATTAGCAGTGTAGATTTTTGTATGTTCTAGTACCTTAAAAATGTAGCTTTCAGTTGTGCCTTTTTGTACGGCTTCAGCTGTTCTTCTGTTTTCCGCTGACTAAGGTGCTTCAGCTAAAATTGACACCAGTGCTGTGATGACACAGCAACCATGCGTGCGTCATTATGGCCACAGCGTCATCACAGCATGTGTTTTGTAAAGCCAAAGGCCAAATTTTTATGCTGATAGAAAATAAATGCTATACTGCAGGGGTAAGGAGCTAATAACAACTACAAATATTGGGGCCAGTAATTCAGCTTCAAGAGCTAGGTGGATATACAATATGGTTAAGTAATTAAGCACCACAGACTGTTCATATCACCAGCCAACAATGAATTTTAGCCTAGGCATGGAATATATATTGACTTCCGGCTTAACTGAATCAGTTGTTGAAGACGAAAGTTGCTTTCTGATTTCTGCCCCTGGATAAGGCTCAGTATGTTGCTGCTGGAAGTTTCAGTTGGGCTGTTGAAGTACAACATGCAAAAGCAATGTATTTATCTCTTTATGTGCTGGTTGTACCGCTGTTCCTTATTTTGTGTCCCTTCTGACTGTCTAATGTATTTTATAGTCATGACCTCTCAGAACTAAGACATATTCTAATATTTCTAATAGTAGCTACATGTATATGACTCTTCCTGCATTAAAGTAGAACTGCAGTCCCAATTTTTTTAGTCTTGTATAACACCTTCTAGTGTAAGGTATTTTTTTCTGTTTAGTCAGAGACTTGCTAGAAGCCTGGGTATGAGTCAGCCTGGGAGTGAGTCAGCAAGGTTACTTGAGGTTAAAGCTGAAGGGCTCTGCTGGTCAGTTCTGTGATACCTCCCCCTGCTCTAGAAACTTGTTGAATTTTCTAGAAGCAGTGGGCAGGGGTGAGGAGGGGCTGATCTGCATACTTAGGGGAATCTGGCCAATCACCAGGCAGGAGGCCTGGCGTGGTGGCTAGGTCAGCCCTTAAATATGAGATAGCCTGGCCAGCAGGAAAGTTGGGGGAAGATGAAGTGAGGAACTGCTGGTGTGGCCCAGGGGGCCCTAGAGGAAAGGGGTCTGCCTACAGGCTGAAGCTGGACAAAAGGACTTCCACTTACAACCCAGCGTAAGGCCTGAAAGTAGCTGCAACCCGTTAAGCTACAGGTACAGGACGATGTGAGTACTTCTACACCCCCTGGGCCAAAGAAGGGAGAGGGCGGTCAGGTGCAATACCCAACTAGTTTTCCATGAGACTACATTCTTTGTGTGCCTCGGAATCCTTTGCCCTGGGATTCTCTCAAGATGGCCAGGTGGAAGAAGAGATTTTCATCTGGGGTCTGAGGTGGTTCATTTAAGGGGATCAAGTGCTCCTTACAAAGACTGTGTACTAATCTGAGATAAGGGGAGTGTCACTCCCGAAGGAGTAGAGAGCTAGAATCCATTTTATGCTGTTTGCTGTATTCTTTTCATTTTGTCTAAGATGTTTGTTCAGTTCCATTGGGCATCCCATATAACCCTAGACCCATCCAAAGTTAACTCTTAATAAAAGAACAAAAACCAAGCTCATGGACTGTTTACTGACTTTGGATGAAAATGCAAAAAAAGGGTGTTACCTGGCTGTGCAGAGCTTAGGGAGCCCCAAAACTCAATGGAACCTCAAGAGGTTAGCGCTACTCTTGCATAGAATGGAAAAGGGTTATAACTTCTTTTAGATGCTTACTGTTGTCTGTGTATCTTTGCTATTCTGTCCAAAACAAAAAAAAAAAGGAAAGTTTTGGCAGTTACTCTACTTTAGGTACACGTTCAGCATTGGTTTGAATATTCCATCTTGGGATCCTTGACTTGGTTTACATTTTGATAGAATGCTTGATTCTTTTTTCTTTTAAATGTTCAGGTACAGACATCAAAGAACCAGAAGTTCCAAAAGGTGAGTTTGATTTTTCTCCTACAGTATGTATCATTACATATTTATTTGGATATTTTATATTTATTTTATATTTTATTTGCACATAACAATCAAAACAATTACCGTATATAATTTAGTTCTGCTGTGCAGGTAAGAAAATGAAAGCTAACAAATGATTGGCTGTTTCTGGTAACATTTTCCTGTCTTGGGATGCAAAGAAGGCTTTATATACTGATAAAAATCATGTGTAAAGAATATATTTGACATTTATAGAACTATTTTTGGCCACAGTAGGCATAGACAGACAGCAAAATGTTCATTGACATTCCAAAGGACTGCTGAGCAGTAAATAAGTTATGTGTTCAAGTGTTACCTTAATTTGAAAAATAAAAATAGTTTTAATCAACACCTGAAAGGCAGCCTCTTAGTATCTTTAGAAGATGGGCTAAAGTAATTGTAGCATGTAGCAGTGCTGACAACGATATAATTTATCCCAAAAACCTTCCCAACCGTCTTCTGTTATGTGACTTTGCCTGTGCTAAGATGATATCTCCAGTCTGCAGCAATTAGGAAAAGACATTTCTGCTGGCCATACTCAGATCTAACTTCGGCCAATTCCTGCTGAATCAGCCAATATTTGAGCTGTGGGCGGCCTTGTTGGCACCTGGCTCGACAAACCTGTACTGAAAAATCAAAGTAGATGGGTGAAAAATTGTCAGCTGAACAGTAATTGCATCCCGTCAGGTGCTGTCATTGTTCCGGTATTCAAGAAGCCAAAGAAGCCGCAACTGGTTGAATACAATAGTGGTCAATATAGATTCCTTCTCTATTTAGCCTGGATGGAGGAATCTATTGATTTTTCTTGTTTGGCTAGCTTTATTCCCCCTCAGTTTGGTAGGGTGAAGAGAGCAGCAGAAGTTTGGTCGAGAATCCAGTTTAACTTTCAACCATATGTCTGACGCTATCTTCTCTCGAAATAAACTTACTACTGCCAGTCCAGACTAAATCCTCTTCTTCAGATCTTAGAGAGCAGTCTCTTAAATATCAATTGATCTACATACCTACCGACATTCTGATAAGGAGCTTGATCAACATATCTTCATTTAACTCCTTAGTAACTAAACTGGGGCAATTTAACTTTGTAGCAAGTCACAAAGCAAAAGGTTACAGCAGAGGCTGATATGTGGCGGACATATGTGAACACAGCCAAGAACCGCAAAGGCATTGGGATTTGCATGACTGCACACTCGACTCTGAGCCAGCATCTCAGTCCAAGAAGCAGATGCTGATCCAAGATAATGCCTAAAACAAATTGTAATGTGCTGATGAAAAAAGCAGATGAAGGCTTCGTCAGGAGGAATATTCTGGCTTCTATGAGTGGTAATAAATACTTGTAAGAGTTACAATTACTTAGGATGCATGCCCTTACCATGAGAAACAATATCAAATGCTAGGTCCACTTGAAACTTTTGGGAATTTTGTTTGAAGATGTTTTCCGTATGATGTATCTGTAATAAATTAAGTCTATCAACTTCTTCTCGGTTGTCTCACTATGTTCTCTTTCAGGAAACACAGAGTGGATCAGATTTGAGAGCGCAGAGTATAAATTCTTTGAGCATCGATCCACATGGCAGCAGGCTCAGAGAATCTGCACTTGGTTTGGGGCTGAGCTAACATCTGTTCACAGTCCAGCAGAGCTGGACTTTATAGTGCAGAACCTACAGAAGGTACAAAATAACTCTAAATGTGATTATTGCATCACAAGAACAAAACACATTTGTTTTCCTGGTTCACACCTGTTCAACTTTAAATTGTTGAAGAGTAGGAGCGATCCCATGAAACTCCTACTTTTTACTATTTTTATTAAAGTATAACTCAAGGCAAAACAGTTTGCTGTTTGGATATGCTATCACTCTTGACCTATGTCATTGGTGGCTGTCACTCTTGACCTTTGCTTCCTTTGATGAAAGCTGTCAAAGATGGGATTTCCCTCATTTTATGGAGGTTTCCTTTCATTTCCTGTTGAGCTTTGGCAAACTTACAGCAGAATACCATGTAAATTGTTTATTTTCCCATGCAGTAGGGCTGTGGGGTAGTGGGGCCCACACTGCATGGGAAAACTTCTCATTTTGTCCAGGGGTTTAGGGAAGAGCTATACTTACCCTATCCTCCAATCCTCCGGAAAACCGCACACCCCCACGTTGAGCAGTGGACTTTTCCTGCTGTCCTCACGCCAGAAGCTAGTCTATGGGTGTGATGATGTCAGGAACAGTCCATTCACAAGACCCCTAGTGTGCAGGGGGGCAGAAGCATCAGGGACCAGTCTTGTGTTCCGAGGATCAGCGGATTTTGTAAGTATACTTTCATTGTTATCACCCCTAGACAAAAACAAGCAGTTAGCCCATACAGTGTGGGCACAGCCCCACTGCATGGTTCAAAAACATTTCTGCTTTACATTTCATATGAGTTGAAACTGATGGATCATGTAGTTCACATTCTCTGCTTGATGTAAAAAGTGAATTTTGAGGGTTTGTTTAAACATTTTCAGGGTTGGACAGTGCCAAACAATACAAGGAAGGGAATTCTGCAGCAGAGTGACAAAGTGACTAGAGTAGGGTAGGTGAAAAGATCACTTGCAGAGTGGACAGTACATTTTAAAGACATCTTGAATTTTTCAGGAGTGCGATTTTGGAACATGTCGGTAATAAATCTCAATAAGAAACCTTAAACTTTGTATCATTGTTTTGTACTCCTTTGCACCAATGTAGGTTTAGAATCTTCAAAAAAATGTACTGAAAGGAAAGACATCTGAAAATAAGTGGGGACCAAATGGGAGACAATGTATTATTTTTGAAACTGACATTTGCATTCGCTAGCATAGAGCAAAAAGTTCTTCATTTTGGCAGAAGACACCTCTCTGAGAATACCAGTACTTCTCTTTTCATTGACTGTTTTTGTTGTGCTTTTGTGTTTTTTAATCGATGTCCATAAACTCTAAAAGGCAGTTGTCAATGCAGGCACAACACAAACTTCCTAAGAGCAAGTCCTTTGCCAAGTGCTACAGAGTTTTTCATGCATTTTTTTGAGGTTTCCTAGAAGATGGGGCACTTTATTTTATAAAATTTTGTTATCGTATTTATCTAATGCTGTTTTTTTATCCTAAATAAGTCTCTTCGAGTTCAAGAGCAGCACTGGTGGATCGGACTGCACACGTATGAAAATGATGGGAGATTCAGGTGAGTTGCTGTGGTGTTAAAATAATAAGTTGCACACCAACACCAACAAATTGTTGAAAGTCAACTTTGGGCTTCTTCTGTACATTTTTGTATCAAACATGTACATCTTATGTTTAAAAAAAAAATCACAATGCATATTTAATTGTACACCAGCTAATGATATTAAGTTATTGGATTTCTTTACCTTCTCACAGTAGAAGTAGCCATTTTGCCTATAAACTAGTTAGCCTATCCATACAGTACGGCTTGAGAAAGGAAAGGCTGCCAGCAGACACTGTATAATGGGGAATAGATATAATCAGAAAATTAAAATGAGTTCCTTTAGGTAAAAAGAAGTGAATTTAACACAAAACAACCATTTTTTTTAGTTGGGTCTGGCAGAGTCTGTGCTTGTTCTGCAGTGCTGGCTGTTAGATGAAATAAATGAAATACTGGTTTTAGTCATCTTTATGGTAAATTGTACTTTCTGCAGATGGTCAGACAAGACTGTACTCAATTTCGTAAACTGGGCTACTGGTCGGATAGGCCGCATTTCCAGAGAGAAGAAAATGTGTTTATATGACAGCAGTTAGAGGTAAGTAGTACATGTGTATTTGGGCTCAGAACACAACTTTTTTTAGCAAGGATACTTTATATCTCTTAACATCCCTGAACCACTTAGATCATTCTTGGGTAAGTCCCATTTAAGTCTATGGTGCGGGCAGCCAGGCACTAGATTTTTAGGGGCCAGGAAAAGAGTGAAAAATAGTGGAAGGATGCCATGGTTAGATGAAGTAAGTAGGCTTCTGTGGGTGGGAGTTATCTTAATGTGTTTAGGGGACTAGTGTTTTTTTAAATAATTATTGAAATTGTCCTTTAAATATATAGATTGTACTTATAGCCAGTATATTTGATGAAATTGAAGGTTTTATACCGACTCTTTGGTTCCAAAATGAGTCACTTGTCCAAGTATTTATCTCTCTTTTTGTCTGCAGGAGAATGGGGTGATCAGAAATGCATCACTGCTTTGCCTTATATATGTAAACGAACCAACAGCACACTGCCACCACCCACCTTACCTCCGCTCTCCCCACCCAGTGTGGGTGGCTGCCCTAAGACCTGGCTACCTTTCATGAACAAGGTTAGAACACAAAGAAGTATAATAAAAATGTCGTGTCATGCTATTTTAATGAAAAAGGATGAATTTTTTCTCTTCTGACAAATTAATGCTGCAGAATGTTAAACTAAACTAAAGCTGGCTTTATACTTGTAGAATTTCCTTGGAAAGATGTAATTTTCAGAACTTTTTAATTTTACCTCAAAGCTAAAGGGGACAATTCAACAATTGGTCTTGACCAAAGCAAAGCAAAAAAAAAAATTGAAGGAGGAGGATGGAAAATATTTTGTCAAAATCTAATAGGACAAACACATTTCTAATCATTGAATTCACTCCCCAACAAGAAAAATAATAACTGCATATGCACTTGTCAAAGTGAATTCAGAAGGAGAATATCCGTTCTACAAAAATCAAGACATTGACATGGTACTCGAATGAAACATCGTTCAAAATTGGTAGAGCCCATGAAGACACCATCAATGGTCCGACAATCAATTTTTACAATTTCTCTTCCAAATCTTCGAACAAAATTCTACAGGTGTAAGGTCAGGTTAACAATGGTCAGTGCAGCAGCGTCAAAGTTTTTTCTTCAGTCACACAACTGTTTTTATCTTTAATAATGAAGAGTAATATGTGCGGACCTCAGCGACAGTTCATGACCCAACCCAGTTTTGATTTATAGCTATGGGCAGTTCTGACCTATTTTATTCAGAGCCTTGGGGTTGCATAGCTATCTAAGAACATGCCACTTAACACTGCTATATAGTGTGTCCCCGAGTGCACCAGTTTGACTTTGTTGATTTTTATCTCCATGCAGTGTTTTGGAGTGAGAGCGGATGGTAAGGGTGAGAGTAGGACGTGGCAACAAGCTCGAGAGTTCTGCAAAGTCCTAAATGGAGAGATTGCTACAATTGACAACTACTTAGAACAGGGTAAGTGCTACCACTGGCATTTTAGCACTGGCTGGGTTTCAATAGAAATGTGTTGCTTGGAAGTAACATCCACAAGAGTTTTCTGTAAAAACTACATGGCCATTTTTAAGGGTTAAAATGATCCCTTATATCATACATGTAATAACAAAACCTTTGTCATGTTTCACCTTTGAGGTAGTAAAATATCATATTTTGTTTCAGGACTACCAGAGTCTTGTAAGCAAAACAGAATGGAAAAACAGATATAAAGGAAAGAGATAAGCCACTTTATACTCTACGGAACTTCATATATGTACACAGCTTGTAAATTAGTGGAAGAACCATTTATGCACAGGCTCCCTGACCTTATGGGCCTAGGAACAGTTTTGAGCCTCTTCAGTAAATGGAGATATGCAGTTCTAGTTGAGACAGCACAAATGTTTAAAATGATAAAAAAAATGTGGATAGTGGTTCACTGTTGTTAGTAAAAATATGCATGGACATGGTACTACAGTTGACTTTTACTAAATGATCCCACTACAGCTGGGAGATCTCATCACAAAAAAGCCTATGGGTCTAAAACCGACTATACATAGATCGAAATTTGTCCAATACAGCAGGGATCAGCTGAATTTCGATCTATATATAGTCAGGCTGATTGTACACAAGTTGATCTATCAATCGACTTGTGTTCAACCAGCATGTTGGAAAATTTTCTTGCGATCAGTGCCTCTGACTATAGCCAGCGGTGGTCAATGGTGTATTCTGACAATGGGGCAGTCTCCCCGCTGTCAGAATACAGTAGCTCAATGGGAGGGATTCCCCCATCCACATCGAGTGTGTGGATGGGGAATAGAGTCATTTTATTTCATTCAATCTGCTGGTTGAATTAAAATAAAATGACTCAGGTATACCCAGCCTAGCTGTTGGCTTCCATCCAACATTTAATATTACTTTTTAGTCTTATTACTTTTTAGTCTATTTTATGTCTTTCTACTTCCCTTTCTTCAGCTTTTATTACATCCATACTTCCCAACATCACTTCTGACCTCTGGATTGGTCTGAACAATAGACAGCAGAGATTCCAATGGGAAGAGGGTCAGCCTCTGGCATATGTGAACTGGGCACCAGGGGCACCATCCAGAGAGAGCTCTTCCAATGGCAAAATGGTGAGCTAATTTATGGCAATCAGTGCTAGAGCCTTTCTAGATAACATAAGTTTGATATTAGTTATGTAGAACAGAATATGACATTCTCAAAAAAAAAAAATCTTTGACATCTGCAGATTAGTTGTGCTGCGATCTGGCATGGACCTCAACCACAGTTCACCGGGCGATGGGACGACAAACTGTGTACAGAAAAGCATGGATACATCTGCCAGATCAGCAAAGGTGCGCTGTGAGTGTGCAACCACATTTCAAGTCTAGATTGTTTGAGACAAAACAAAGAAAATCTGAAAACTGAACGACACCAAAAATGCCAATCAGAATTCATCTATTAAATCTGTTGCTTGCTTTGAGCTACTGTACTTTGCTTACCATAACTGCTTTTAGCACTGCTTGTTAAAGTATGTCTCTATGGGGTTGATTTATTAAAATTGGAGAATACAAATCTGGTACAGCTGTTTATGGTAGCCAATCAACTTCTAACTTCTGCTTGCTCAATTAAAGTAGTAACGCCCCATAAAATAAGGCTTACCTATAGGTACAGTAAATATCTCCTAAACATGCAAACATTTAGGAGATATTTACTATAGTAGCAGTCAGTGACATCACCAGCACATGTGCACTGCGCTCTCAATGGACGGAGTCCAATCCATTGAGAGAGTCCATGCCACGGACGTGACTTCATCGTGGCTCGGCCAGTCATACAGCCGTAGCCCGCAAACTCGGAAGGAGGACCCGGTAAAGATGGAAGCGCCTACAGTAGTGACAGTGAATCGCTTGAGGGCTTAGTTTTCAGGTAAGTATTTCATACAATGCATACTAGTACATTATGCTTTTATTTTGCAGGGGAAATTTTTTGGGGAATTTTTTTTGGGCGGTTTACTACCACTTTAAGATTTGACTAAAAACCTGGAAGGTGATTGGTTTCTATGTAGAGCTGCACCCAAGTTTGATTTTGTTTCAGAAAATCAACTCCCTGTGTTTATTTTGTTCTTAAAAATATATTTTCTCTGCAGTGCCCTCTCTGAGCCCAGCATCCGAGCCATTTCCATTTCCACCTAGCACCAGACTCCAATACAGGAACAGCTCTTACCTCATTCTGCAAAAACCAATGTCTTGGACTGAAGCTCGCCTGCTGTGTGAGACTCGTAATGCCACCTTAACAAGCATCCCAGACGCCTACCAACAAGCATATTTGACCCTTGCAGTAACCGGGCAGAAGACCCCTCTTTGGATTGGGCTGTCGAATGAAGAGGTGCCACACTTTATGTTTTCTGTTAAAGTATTCAATGTGAAATACTAGTTTCAAAATATCCAAGTTATGAGGGAATGAGGGATTAGCCATGTGTTCTATGGCAATTCTTACGTATGTACAGTATGTATGCACACCCCACAGGACTACAAGTCCCAAAAATCCTTTCCCTGTACACAGTGAGAGTCAAGGCAGCAGTATTGTATAACTGGGAAAGAAATGAATTTCAAACTTAAGTCCTCATGCACACTGGATGTTTTTACAGCTGCTGTTTTTGGCTTTTTTAAGTTTATTTTCTACAGCTAGTAAACCCCCCAGCATATTATCCTATGTGTCCATGCACACATAGACTGTAATCAACATTTTTTGGCAGGGACATTTTTTTGGCTGGAAAAAAAAAACTCTGGACTAGTGGGTTTCTAGAGTTTTTTAGCTGTAAAAATTCTCTAACACTGAAAAATGCAAAACGCGGTAAAATGCAGTAAATTGCGGTAAAATGCTGCAAATTGGCGTTTTTTGGCCCCAAAAAAAATGCTAAAAATGCTAAATACGCAAACACTGAAAAACCCAGCTAAATGTGGCAAAACACTAATGCAAAAACGCCAAAAAAAACCTGAAAAACTCACGTTTTTAACGTGACTTTACACAGCTAACGTTACCAGCGTTATCGAAACACCCCATGTGCATGGAGACTAAAGCTCTGTCATTCCTATCCCCCAACACTCGGGACAATGTTCCTTGCCTTTCTAATCCATGAAGAGGTTCACATAGCAAGGTGTACCAGACTTTGAATCAAAATATGCTCCTAATTTTTAATACTCCACATTAATATAGGGGAACTTGGCGGTCTACAACAAAGGTCTTGTAGGTGTAGTTTCCTTTTCGAGCAGATGACTGCAAGCCTTCATATAGGAGTACATACTAGAAAGTAAAACAAAAGCAGAATGCATCATAAAATATTGGCAGAAGGACAGGTAAGTTGGAATCAATGTATGCATCTCACTTCAGTTGTTGGCTAAGAAAACATCCACTCATGTATCAGTTGATAGGCTTATACCAGAAATCCACAATAAATTCTCAAGAGATCTTTGAAAACAAATCCCAAGTTTGGGTGTACCACACTCAACATTAGCACTACTGAACATTTTGAATCCACAAGGTGCAGAGTAAAGAGGCAAATCATGATAACAATAGATAAATGAAAGTCCCTACTTTATTTAAAATCAATAAATCTCAGTACACTTTGAAGCATGCATTGCTTCCTCTTCAGTGAAGAAGTGAAGAGGGAGCAATGCATGCTTTGAATTATGTTTATTGCTTTTAATAAATTTGGGACTTTTGTTTATCTGTTATCCTAATTCACCTCCTTACTCTGCACCTTGTGGACTCCCAAATATCCAGCAGCAATATCCAGCAGCAGCAGTGATACAGACAACCTTGGGGTGTGTTTTTGAAGATCACTTGGGAATGCACTGTGAATTCTTGCTACTTAAGTCTATCAGCCAGGACACAAGTTGATGTTTTCTCGGCCACTCGCCAAGGTGAGCTGCATACATTGATTTCAAATTACTTGTCCATTTGCTGATATGCACTCCGCTACTGTTTAATTTTCTAAAATGTTGCATACTGAGTATCCCAGTCATCCTTTTTTAGGAAATACTGCCATTTTATTTAGGTATATTTGCCTAAATCAGTGTTATTTCATACTTCATAGGGTGGGCGATCCTACTCTTGGCTAACAGATGATGGGACTTCATATATCAACTGGAGGGATGGAGAGCCACAACGTCTGAGTGGCTGTGTATATATGGATGCCCAAGGAACATGGAGCACAGCAAACTGTGATCATAAACTACCTGGAGCAATTTGCAGCTACAACACTCGTAAGCCGACTCTTTATTCTTTTTTGCATTTTGTTATGTCTTTATGGTTGTTCTCTCCCCTTTCTTAATTGAGGTCTCCCAGTGCCTGAAAACATGCTAGATTGACAATACTGTGTATTCCTTTTCTAAGTTGGGTGTAGATGTGCGTTAAGTATAGTGGTATGTTCTGCACCAAAATGTAGTCCATGTATTAACTGAATAGCTCGTCTCTTCAGTGTGCTCTTGTAGGAACATTTTTTTATATTATCTCACAATTATGGCTTTCTGCTCACCTCAACACGTCCAACAGACTGAATGAAAAAAAAAACCCAACAGATTACTCTAACCACACACATATGGTTGATGGAGGAATCCTTCAAACCGGGGCATTGTATTCTGACATTGGACCTCACCGCTGTTAGAATACACTGGTCAGGGGCTACAAGCACTGATCAACAAATGTTTACCAGCATGTCCCTTAGACAGAAGTTGATCAATTTCTGTCAGGCAGGGACAGCCACATGCTTATTGAAATTTGGCCAGTCCCTGCTGAACTGGACATATTTCTATCAGCGTATGGCCAATTTAAGACCTGCCCAACTTCACTAACAGCTTAGGAATATGTATCTTTTAATACAAACTTTTACCATACTAGGAAATATAGCACGCTGTCTTAAACAAGCTTTTCTCACATTCCCCGTGCTCCGTCCCCTTGATTCACTGTCAGAGCTCTTTAGCATCCCTATGCAAGTTTTGACTTTCTGAAAGTCAAAACCTGCTCCAGACTCTGCAAGCCTCTCTTTGCTCAGAAGTGACAGCACTGGGGCCTGGCAACTGGCTGCTCAAATACCCCAAACTACATTATAGGGAGGCGGGGGTTGTGATATATTACCCCATAAAGGCAATTACTGGGTATTTCATGGGGCTATGGCAGTGACAAAGGACAAAGAAGGTGGGTAGAGCTAATCAACCTATGGTCTCTGGCATGTCCCTTCAACAGAAATCAATCAAAGCAGGATGACCACAAACTGATCAAAATTCAGCTGGTCCCTGCAAACTTCATTCAGTGTATGGCAAGCTTTAAACTATCCACTTGCAGAGAAAGGCTGTTCTGTGATGTTTTACAGGCTCAAAGAAAATGAGATTGTTTGAAGTCTCAAACCTTATCAACATCTCTGCTTGTTGTTATAGGATCCATAGATACCTACTTAGTTCTGTGATTAACTAAGGCAGTACCTCCCATAACATGCAATCCATCTCAGCAGTGCTGAGCTATAAAGCTTGGGACTTCAAACAACCTTCAGCTCTCCTTTAGAAGTTAATGAGATGAGGGTAGTAAATCTCTGAACAGACTCTCCCTAAGAGTAAGTGGAAAGAGCTTAACTCATTGAAAACCTCTACAAATTCGAAACACTTGTTAAGAACCAAACTGAATGCAAAAAATTGCAAAGATTTGGTTAAGATGTCTATAGATATTGGACAAATACTTGTATGTCTGTAGGCCTTTTCCAATACCCCATGGCCATCACAGAAAACAAAATATGTTGTCTCACGTTAGCCTGGAATCAATATGTAGGTAAGAAAGGTAACATGTATGGTCAAAGAAAAAGAAAAGAGATACTTTAAATAAAAAAAAAAAATTTAAAATGCAAGGTAAGAAAGCTAGACCCCTTTGTCAAATATAATAAAGGGGCACTCAAGTCAGATTTGAAAATTACAGTGTTACTAAACCCAGGAGTCTGCAATCACGATATCTGGCCTCCCACAGTACACATAACATGGAAATGCACTTATTTTAGTAAATATAAACTGCTAAATACCTTTTTTCATCAGCAGTTAGAGCAGTCTTGTGACTTCAGCACAGCACGGATTAAAGCTTGTAGGAGGAGTTTTCTTCCTGCTCTAGGAGGATGTGAAACCCTTGACCCTCTGTCTGGACAGTACTTATTGGCCCTGTGCTGATCACATGCACTCTCCCAAGAAAAAAAAAAAACCTCTTTAGCAATGCACACTAAACTGAGCATGTGCATGCCCACATATGGAAGAAAAATATATTTGAAATATTTTTTAAAAATATTCTTCCCAAATATATTGACATATATTTGAAATACTACAATTTTGGCCATATTCAATATATTTAAAAATATATTTTCAATAAATATATATATATATTGCATGTTGAAATGTGTTTTTATTACAAAAAATATGAAAATTATTTTTAAAAATACATTTCAAATATACCGTATGTCTTTAAAAATACAAATCTACATTTTTGGAATGCATGTACAAATATACGTAAAAAATATATGTTAAAAAAATCTGAAGAATATTGAAACTTTTTACAATGCAGAGGATTAACCCCTTAGGTTCCACAGTGAGTATAACAAGCATGCTTTACTGCATATACAGACTGATTTTACTGTTGTGGGTTTAATAACACTTTAAGCCTTAAAATACATACAAGCACATCCTGCCCACTTAGCATTTCAATTTTTTCCAGACATTGCACTTGTTTACCAGTCTTCCCTCATCCCTTTTATTGGTAATCTGATGATCTGAGACCTCCAAGTGATAATGCAGGAGTAATATTCTGAAAAACATCCACTACAGGTTCCTTTGCTTTGTCTCACAAGTACCAGTTAGGTTCTTACTACTACGGACTGATTTTTGAGTGGTGGTGCACAGGGGCGGACTGACAACTCATGGGGCTCTCAGGCAGTAGGGGATCATGGGGCCCCTGTGTCCTTGCCCAAACTCAAAAAAGCCTATGAAAAAGGTACCAGGGGCATCTCAAGGGCCCCTTACTGACCCCGGACCCTCGGGCAGTGCCCGAGTTTCCAAATGGTCAGTCCGCCCCTGGAGGTGCATGAAGAATGGAGATAAAATGACAGAGGGCAGGCTTCAGACTGTACAGTCCCAGTGTTTCTTTAGGGTTCATTCACACCAGTCCTTTTGGGCTGCATTGAGGAGCATTGCCCAGTGCAGTTTCAATGCAAAGACCAATCAAAAAGTTTTGCTTTGTATAGAGCCCGTTCGCACCAACACGTACATTGGTCTTCATTGTGATAAAATGACACAAGGATCATTTTATTGCAGTGTGTCACAACATACTGCATCACATGTAATTATTATAGAAAAAGGAAACAAATCAAGCACTGCAATGTGTTATTACAATGCTTGCATTGCAGCGAATGTTCATACATGTTATGTGCTATGCATTGCTGTACTGTGTTACGATGCTTTCTACAGGAGAACTGACATAGAATACAGAGACCTCAGTTTACAGTAAATTTACTGATTCTGAAACAGTTGCAGGGTTTTCTGGATAGCATAGCAACTCACTAATTGGTTTTGCTCATTGTCAATTGCTGCCTAACAGAAAACATGGCTCAATAGGAACTTACTACTGTATTCTGAAAGCTTGCATGTTACCATTTCTTAATTGGTCACTAAGGTTTCCTTGACATATTTACATTTAAAGTGTTACTAAACCCACAACAGTAAAATCAGTCTGTATATGCAGTAAAGCATGCTTGTTATACTCACTGTGGAACCTAAGGGTTTAATCCTCTGCATTGTGTAAAATCGCTGTTTGATCCTGTCTTTTCCGATCCTCCCCTTCTTCCAGTGCCCCTCTCTTTTCTTATCTCCTGATAAGACATGTGGAGTCACTCTGCACATGCTCAGTTTAGTGTGTATTGCTCAAGAGGTTTTGGTTTTTTTTTTTTTACTTGGGAGAGTACATGTGATCAGCACAGGGCCAATCAGCACTGTCTAGACAGAGGTCAGGGTTTCTGCATCCTCCTAGTGCAGAATGAAAACTCCTCCTACAAGCTTTACCCAGTGCTCTGCTGGACACTGATAGAAGTCACAAGACTGCTCTAACTGCTGATGAGAAAAGGTATTTAGCAGTTTATGTTTACTAAAATAATTGCATTTCCATGCAGTGTGCAGTATGGGAGACCAGATACAGTGAATGCAGGGACCTGGGATTAGTAACACTTTATGAATGTATTGGTTAAAAACGTACATTTTTAAAACTGGACTCCAGACAGATAAAAGTGCAAATTGACGCAGTCCTGTTTTCTTTAATACTTTACCAAATGTGTTGCTTTAAATGCAAGCAATGCAAAGGCCAGTTCACACTTGTGTGTAGAGCTGCATTTTTCTGCAGAAGTGAAAATTAGCTCTTTGCAAGGGCACACAGAAAACAATGATCATGGAGAAGGATTCTATGGGATTGTAAGCTCCAAGGATCAGGGCCTTCCTATCCCTCTTGTATGGAACTGTATTGTTGCTGTATTGTCTCCCGTTATATTGTAAAGCGCTGAGCAAACTGTTGGGTCTATATAAATCCTGTACAATAATAATAATGGGATTGGTAATGTCAAGGGATGTGACTTCAGAGGTGTAGAGCACAGTGGAAAGTGCCAAAGAACAGAGACAAGATAGACAGCTACAATCTCCTGAACTATTGCATCCACTCTGAGATAGATGGAGATTCTCTGCCTGCATGGATATTTTCACCCAACATCTTAACATGTCTCCTCTTCTTTCCTTTACTAAACAGAATCTACCAAAACTCATAAGTGGAGTTTCAACAGCAGCTGCCCGAATTCAATAGGTGATTCCTCTTGGATCCCATTCCGTGACTACTGCTACTTCTTCCATATGGAGGTCAACATTAGCCAAAAGGATGCTGCCAAAACATGCCAGAAAGGTAATCGCTGATCACAATATCTGAATCCCAGCTCCCAATTAATAATAAATTCTCATTTGATATTAAACCTTTAACCGTCCCTGTCATTAACTTAAAATTGCAAGGTAAAAGCACAGAAAAATCAAGTATTTTAAATGCTTACTTGCAGCAATTTTGATTTCCAAAAAATATTTTTTTTATTCAATTTCAATGAACTTTCTAAAAAATTCTTTTTAACTTTGCATACTCCCAAAATAAGCTATAGCGATGCCAATCCATTCATAAAAACATTTTTCAAGTTACTACATAAAAAAATAGCACACATAATTAGACGTCATGCACACTGGACATTTTCTTTAACACTACTAGACGTAACACGTAAACGTAGACGTAACACGTTTAGCTGCGTTTACCCTCGTCAAGCATTTTGGCGGTAATTAATTTCATTGGCCAGAATAAATAATTTATTCTGGCCATTGAAAATAAATTAATATTTAAGCTCTAAGCGTGCCTTGCTTCCCACATGGAAGAAAAAATATATTTTAAATATATTTTAAAAATATTCTTCCCAAATATATTGACATATATTTGAAATACTACAATTTTGTCCATATTCAATATATTTAAAAATATATTTATATATATATTTATTTATTGTATGTTGAAATGCATTTTTTATATATTACAAAATATATGTAGAATATTTTTAAAAATATATATATTTTTTAAATATATTCTTCAGATTTTTTTTAAAATAAAAAAGTAATTTTAACATATATTTGTAAATGCATTCAAAAACGTAGATTAAATGTATTTTTAAAGACAGTATATTTGAAAATGTGTTTTTAAAAATATTTTTAATATATTTTGTAATATATAAAAAACTTATTTCAGCATACAGTATACAGTATATATATTTAAATATATTGAATACGGCCAAAATTTTAGCGTTTCAAATATATGTCAATATATTTGGGAAGAATATTTAAAATATATTTTTCTTCCATGTGGGTTAATACGCATTTACACACATTTAAACGCTTCAAGTGTTTTTTTTCTGCCATAACTCTGTTGCTCCTGGTCGAACTTGCAGTGGGGTTTTTTCCTGCCTCTAAATTCTCCTGCCACTAAATGCCTCTAAAAGTTTATGTGTACATGTTTACATAGGATAACATGCAGGGCAGTTTAGAGACAGGAAAAAAAAAATGCCAAACGCCCCTAGGAGCAGCTGTAAAAATGTCCTGTGTGCATGAGGTCTTAAACTGATCATATAGAAAAACGTGTACACCAATTTATTATCTTCTACAATTTCAAACAAAAATTTAAATAATATATTAATTCCCTGTTAATCATTGTGTTTTAGTTGGTGGTGACGTTTTGACCATTGTAGATGAGACAGAAAACCTTTTCGTCTGGGAACACCTGCAGACATATGAAAGCCAGACAAAAGGAGCATGGCTTGGCATGTCCTTTAGTATCAAAGGTAAGATATTTTTTGTCCATGACAATTAAGGAGAGTAAGGGGCAAAATTGAATCATTATTAATTACATTGCTTATGTTACTGCTTTGGAAGCCATAACCACTCAAGATCATTATACCAGATTTTGCAAGTTAAATCACAGTGGTTAAATAAGCATGCCCAAACTGCTGATCTGTCAATGAATGGAATGCCTGCTCACCTTAATGTTTAATCTACAAATTGGGTCACTTGCACTTAGTTGTTCTTGCGGTTCCATTTCCAGCTATTAGCAGCCACTTCATGCGTGGGGTCCCTTTAAGAGACTGGTTCCAGCTGCCTCTATTTAACTTCAGTTTGTTTTACTGTGTTCCCTTTAAAACAATGATCCACAAGTTTGGTTTATCAATACCAGCAAGAATACTTAGTCCAACAATTTTAATCCAGTGAAAATGCTCAGGAAGCCCTAAAATTCAGCCAACTAGGTGACTCCAACCTGCCACTCTTCAGGTGCGGGCACTAGAAGTAGCTGTCCAAGGGATCGCTATCTGCTGTTCCCACAGTCCACTGGAGGTGAAACCACATGAACAACTTAATAAAGCGCAAGTAACCTAATTTGTAGGTCAAACATTAAGGTGAGCGGGCATTGCACTCATTGGTGGATGGACAGTTAAGGCACTGAAGCATACTTATCAAAGCACTTCTTGCAAGATACACTATATTGCCAAATCATTGGATTCAGGTGTTCCAATCACCTCCATGGCCACAGTTGTCTAAAATCAGGTACCTAGGCATGCAGACTGCTTCTGCAAACATTTGTGAAAGAATGGGTGGCTCTCAGGAGCTCAGTGGATTCAAGCGTGGTACTGTGATAGGTTGCCACCTGTGCGATAAGTCCATCCGTGACATTTCCTGGCTACTAAATATTCCACTGTCAACAATTAGTGGTATAAGAATAAAGTGGAAGCAACTGGGAGCAACAGCAACTCAACCACAAAGTGGTAGGCCACGTAACATGATAGAGCGGGGTCAGCGCATGCTGAAGTGCACAGTGCGCAACAGTCGCCAACAGTCTGCAGAGTCAATAGCTAAAGACCTCCAAACTTCATGTGGCCTTCAGATTAGCACAACAACAGTGCATAGAGAGCTTCATGGAATGGGTTTCCATGGCCGAGCAGCTGCATCCAAGCCTTACATCACCAAGTGTAATGCAAAGCGTCTGATGCAGTGGTGTAAAGCACGCCACCACTGGACTCAAGAGCAGTGGAGATGGGTTCTCTGGAGTGACGAATAATGCTCCTCTGTCAGGCAATCCAATGGACACGTTTGGGTTTGACGGTTGCCAGGAGAACAGTACTTGCCTGACTAAAATATAAAATGCCTTGCCTGACTGCATTGTGCCAAGTGTAAAGTTTGGTGGAGGGGGGATTATGGTATGGGGTTATTTTTCAGGGGTTGGGCTTGGCCTCTTAGTTCCAATAAAGGGAACTCTTAAGGTGTCAGCATACCAAGACATTTTGTACAATTTCATGCTGCCAACTGTGTCCCAATACTTTTGGCAATATAGTGTATATTTTTTATGTCACGAAATGAACACATATTATTTGAACACTGGATAGGATGTTTTAAGTGTGAAGAAGAACAACAAAAGAGAAGCGCACCAACCTTGCGCATTACCTCAGTAACCAAAATTTATTAAAATAAAAGAATGGTACTCACAAACAGCGAATAAAAACAAGCATGTAAGTCCTCAAAGGGACTTTAGAGGCAAGATCAGCTCTGAGGCATGTCCTTCGAAACGCGCGTCAGCTGTAACGGAGTGGTACAATTTGAGGAAGAAGGCATGCTGCAACTGTGTCCCAATGGGATTCGCATTGGCATCTTGCCTCTAAAGTCCCTTTGAGGACTTACATGCTTGTTTTTATTCGCTGTTTGTGAGTACCATTCTTTTATTTTAATAAATTTTGGTTACTGAGGTAATGCGCAAGGTTGGTGCGCTTCTCTTTTGTTGTTCTTCTTCACAGTTTTGTTTGGGCTTCCCCAGCCTTGGTGTGGAGCTGCACGACCTTGTCTATTCCGGTGGTCCCTTCCTTTTTGGAGTTTGATTCCATCTACTCACCACCGGCCTGGGTCCCGGAGCGCAGGAGACACTGCATTAGGATGTTTTAAGGACATTTCTTAAGGGTGAACCAACACTTATACTATTTGTTTTGAAGATATATGGATATATGTGTTTTCCACATTACTGTAGGCTTATTTGATTATTTTCAATGTTTATGTTTTCATTGTATATGAAAGAGGTGATTGTAGGCGTATTAGTGCATTTGCGGCAGAAACAATTGAGTATTGTCCGTGATACTTTTTTTATTTGCACTAACAAACAATTTTGAGGACAAGCTTTCGGGGAGTGTCCCCTTCTTCAGGTCAAAGCAGTACTGATCACAAAGGTATAGCAGAATGTTAGAAGAGATGTAGGGGATGGAAAAAAAAAAATAATAATATAATAAAAAGAAGTATCACGGACAGTACTCAATTGTTTCATTGTATATGAAAAAAACTGACCCGTGTATGCCCAGCTTTAGTCATGTATTGGGAGCAAAACGTTCCTTAGTTTGTGAATGATTCAGCCTGCCAACACCCAACCAAAATGACAGCATCAGATTTTGGCAGCCCATCCTTTTAAAAAAATACAGACTAGAGCTTGCATTGTGGTATAATTAATCTAATTAGAGTATGGTTTATGTTTGATAAGTGAATGTGCTTTCTGAAAATGTATTATCTTGCTAATTATCACTGAAATGGTTGAATTATGTCCTATGTCTAAACCCCACCATACGTGTTGCTATGTGACTGTAAAATTTCTGCACAATCTCCTTTAGATGTGTCCAAATTAGGTAGAATGGAAAGTCCTAAATGACCCATTTATATATATTTTTTTATTTAATTAGACAGGCCATCATTCTACATAGTTGTTGGTAGATCAAAGGACATAGTACAGTTTATTGTCAGCTGATTGTTCAATCACCTTTGAACCTGGAATGCCAAGGCCTGTTTAATTTGATATAAATTGATTGGATAGATTAGGTGGAACTTCATACTACGGTATATAGTTTTGGTCATTCGAAATTTGATTGTAGAGAGGTTGTATAGTCCAATTGTACAGTGATGTAAAGGGACTATGATGTATTATCCTATATCTTCTTCTGTTGCAGAAGGCTCACTTTTGTGGAATGATAACACACCAGTCAATTACTCAAACTGGGGTCAGCAAGACTCGGGTCCTAGCTTGCTGAGTCCGAATTCCTGTTACTGGATTGAAGGCAGCAATGGAGTTTGGGGTCTGGGCTCTTGTACCAATGTCAGAAAGGGGGTTATATGCAAACTGTCCAGAGGTGAGCTGTGCCTTCACACTTTCAGACCTATAATTGAACCTCATTTTAAAATGGTTCCCACTTCATATCCAGGAAAAGTTAAAGACCCTCAAAAGAGTAGGATTAACTATAATATGGGCACATATAACATTTACTATCAGGTGCCCTGTGTCAATGTGGAGAAAAATGGAGGATTGATATCAGGAGATCGGTCAGTATTCTTCGCATATCAGTCCCTCAAGACCCTCTGATACCATGTGGTCAATTTCAAGGCATAAGGAAATTGACGAGTGCTTAACCAGGCACTGGAGGAAGTAGTGTCCTACTCTAAGTAGATGGTAGTTTTTTGTATTTATTTCTATTTTTCTGCTACAATGCTGACAAATCCCTAAAAATATTATGTAGTAATTTTTGCCATAGACTGGAACTTGACAGGGGCAGACTGACAACTCATGGGGCCCCTGGGCAATAGGGGATCATGGGGCCCCTGTGTCCTTGCCCAAACTCAAAAAAGCCTAGGAAAAAGGTACCAGGGGCATCTCATGGGGCCCCCTACTGACTCCGGGCCCTCGAGCAGTGCCCGAGTTTCCAAATGGTCAATCTGCCCCTGGAACTTGACTATATCTGAGCATCACAAACTGAAAAGATTATTTCATTAATTGTTAATATTCAAAGCAAACTCACCCATCCATCCATGATTCCATGTTTTATTCTATTGTTAAATCACTTTGAAAAAGCCCCCCCCCCCCCAGCATTTCTAGCTGCAGCCATCTTTAGTGAGGGCAGCATTTACTTTCTGGAATCAATCTGTCCTTAGCTCAGGCATGCAGACAGAGAAATTCCATCCTCCCGTCTCCAGACTATAGAAAAAAAATGCCCATGAAGACTCCTGGGGTGTATGATATAATTTTGGCTTAAGCCAGAAACCAGGAAGCCACTAAAGAAATGTAAAAAAAAATTTAAAACAAGTAAATATAATATAACTTCCTATCTATTTACTAATGCTAGCAGCATAAGGATTACAAATAGTTAATGTTGATTTAAAGAGTTTAGTTTAGCTTGAACTTTACTATTGCACATACTGATGTCTCTTTTTCAGCCATTCATAACTAATTATTTGTTTTGTTTATCTCTTCTTTATCCAAAATCCTGTTTTTTTTATTAGCGGAGGAAGAGAACATTTCTAAATCTAGTAAGTATGATTTTAAACAAATTTGAATAACTCCTTCAAGTTTTTGAATTTTCAAGTATTTGGTCACCAGAACAAATGGAGAGTTGAATCCTCCAAAAGCTGAGTTTTGGTTATAGATATACTATATATCCTTTCAAATATGGAATGGAGGGGCTACTTAAAAAAAGCAACAAAGGGTAAAAGGGTGTAATTCCTGCCATGAGAGTGAATCAAAACATCACAGGGGAGCAGTTGGGAGTGGTAAAAAAAAGTGGCAGGGTTTTACTGCCCTTCAAACGCTAGTGTGAACGAGCAATAAAAGATATATTCCTAACCTATGGGTATACTGTATGTCTTTAAAAATAAATGTAATCTACATTTTGGAATGCATTTACAAATACATGTAAAAATATATGTTAAAATGACTTTTTTTTTATAAAAGTCATTTTAACATATATTTGTAAATGCATTCCAAAAATGTAGATTTGTCTTTTTAAAGACATACAGTATATTTGAAATGTATTTTTAAAATATTTTTCATATATTATGTAATAAAAACACATTTCAACATGCAGTGTGTGTATATGTGTATATATATATATATATATATATATATATATATATATATATATGTATATATATATATTTTTTTAAAATATATTGAATATGGCCAAAATTGTAGTATTTCAAATATATGGCAATATATTTGGGAAGAATATTTTTAAAATATATTTTTCTTCCACATGGGAAGGTTTAGTTTTCCCCTGGTCTTTACTGTTGTCTCTTCTCTCATCCAGCATGGCCATGTTTAGTTTGGCTTTCCATCTAAGCTAACTTTGTTAGCAGTGTAAGGTAGTTTCTATAGATTTTGTTATAGAGAATCCACAGATGATAGAGCTCTCCTGCTGTCTAAACTACAGCCAGTTACAGTAGTCCAACTGAAAAGCCGAGCTTTGTCTGCAACAGCTGGGTGCAGTTAAAGACCTCACAAAGAGATATAAACATTCAAAGCAACTGAGTCATCCATTGTGGGCAGAGTTCCTCTTTATCTGTATGTTCATATTTGCTAATTTCACCCTCAGTTTCTTACACTGATCTATTTTCTTGCAGTTTTACCACCACACAGCACGGCAGTGGCAATAGTGGTCCTCTCTACCTTTGCCCTTTGCATCTTAGTGGTTGTAATCATCTACCTGTACCGGCGCAGAAAACTTGCAGCAGAACAAGGAGCATTCGAAAGTGCAAGATACAGCCGTGCCAGTACTGGGCCGGGAGGATCAGCTGATAAGAACATACTGGTGTCAGACATGGAAATGAATGAACAGGAATAAGAGAGGGTTGAAGTGACGTCATGTTAAAATTCAAGGGGGGGTTGGGTCGTTTAAGACTTTTAATTCTTCCCACTACCTGGTGACCATGGTAGTTGTTGATATTACAGAGGGTGCAGGATGCCCCCTTTACTGAAAATGGATTTCTACACTGTCAGTGTTTTTCGGGGGCTGTCGTACATTGCTGAGCAATGGTTTTCGAGTTGCTCCGACATCAGGAAGCCTTAACGGTACCGCCATCTTACTCCCAGCAGTCTCCTTACCATTGTAAACTCAAAGCAAACCTTTCTTTGAGACTGGGGGGAATAAACTGGGCTTAGGCTGTGTTCACTCTGAATTTCTGAGATCGACAAATGCTGTAACTTTGTGACCAAAATATAGTGCTTGTATTTCTTGTGTGGCACTGAGACTAGTACAGTGTTTTTCTAAGGAGTCTATTTTTTTCTTTTAATTTGCGGTGGAAATGTCTCAAGCATTTTCACAGCCATAATTTGTCTAATGCGTTTACTTATTATGATTGTCAGATTCCTCTAGTGGCTGTAATGTGGTATTTTCCAGAAATACTCCTATTAGGTAAATACAGAATTATGGCCACTAGATGAAGCTGGCAATCATAGGAAGTAAATATATTACACAAATTGTGTTCATTATTTGTGACAGCCGTGTGAATGCTTGAGTCATTTGCACAGCCATTTTTGTGATAAAAAGACCCCCCATAGTGTTGGACCTTATTCATCATGGTGGGATCTTTACAATGGTGGTTCATGCCTTCCCTCTGGATGATATTCTGCAAGATTCAGCATCACAGTCCACTGCTCATCTGAGGTTTACTTTTTCTTTTGCTCACAGTCATCACAAGAATGAAGGTGATGTTAGGGAATAGTCTTTTTAAGTCCTTGGCTATGCATTTTTTATCTATCCAGTCCACATAACACAACCTCAGTACAAAAAAAACCAAAGCTCCATTCTGCAAAAAACATACAGTGGATTCCTCATGAGTCTGTCAAACACATGAAGAAAAATTTACTAAAATTATCAAGTGATGGTCCATTCTTTCAGGTCTTAACGTCTAAGGTCTGATGCAGGGACAACAGAGATGCTCAGCTCTCAATTGGAGCTCTCCATCCTGTGCTTTGTTGCATCAATCATGATAGTGCAGCGTTGGAGCTGGACACAGCATGGCTCCTACTTGTACCACGTATCTAAAAAGCAAGCACAGACAGCAAATAATTTTCAGATAAAATTCCTAAAAAGTGATATTTAGAGTTAACACTTCTGCCTTTAGAAACAGTAGAAATCTATTCATTTTGACTGAGGTCCTTTCTGTGGGTGGAAATGTCAGTTACTGTGAGCTCCTGTAGCCATTTCAGAGAGAATGCCTTGATTAGATGCCATGGGTTGAGTGTTGAGGAGCGCCCAGGGCTAACGTTCATGAGGAGTTTTAGTCCAAATTTTTATTGGTATAGAACAGAGATGTCAAACTCAATTTCATTGCGGGCCGCATCAGCATTATGGTTGCCCTCAAAGGTTATATCTGAAAGAATATATAACCGTGTCTACTCTTTATCATATTAAATAATTGCCTCTGAATTTGATCATTACGGGTTTCAGTAATAACTTAAGACTTAAGCTGTGAAGGGCAAGTGCAGACCGGCATGGAGCCAACTCCCACTTCCATAGCAGATGATGCAAGTCTGAAAAAAAGGGTCGCATACTGCTGGTATTATCCACAAAAAACATTATTGGAGATAATCAGACAGAACATGGTTCTGCCATGGCGTTCTGTCTGGGCAGTCTCTAATTAAGTATCTTGTGGATAATACCAGCGGCGTGCAACTCTCCTTTTCAACGAGCATAGCATTGTGTTATTTTCATAATACTTGTAAGCAGATATTCAGAGCACCCCACCCCTCCTTACATCACATGTCAAGAGCCATACCTCCCCCAGTATCAGAATTCAAGAGATTCCCACCCTCCCTTACTTCACAGTGCACTCCCCTTACCTTGTGCTGCTGCCAGGGTGGAGCTGGGAAGCAGAAAGTGCAGGGTCTGGAGGAGGACTAGAGGAGGTCTGGAGTCTGCCGAATGCTGAGACAAGAGGGTGCTACAGCTGTACAGGATCTGTAGGGAGGTTCTGTCCTCCTCTCTGCTTCTGACTGCTGAGATGGGGGGCAGAGACAAGCCTCTCTGCGCCCTGCACAGAGAAGCGCAGGATCTAGTGGAGGGTTTCTGCCCTCCTCTCTTCTGCCAACTGCTGAGACAAGGTGAGGGTGGAGATGTGGAAATATGGGGGTGCCGCAGTTGCAGGAGAGGTGAAATGGCTTGGTGGGCCCCATTTGGCCTGCAGACCTTGTGTTTGACACATGTATCGAGATAAGCTAACACATTTTGGAGGAAAAAGCCTCCCTCTACCTCAGGGCTGAAGCAGTGGATATGTTTGGATTAAAGGTGAGATTTAAAAAAGATACCTATAATGAGGTTTTATCTGAGCTGTCAGATTTGTTACCATGCAAGTTCTCTTGGAGGATTCATGTGCTTGGCAAGTTAAGGAGATCCATGTTAGAGGTGACAGAAGGCAGAGATCAGAATTAAAGATTTTACTTGACAACATCATAATGGAGGGGAAACATTTGGGAAACAGTGGACTAGGCTATGCTATGGGGTCACTACTTTATCAACAGGTTTGTTTATGTTTGTTTGTCCATTCTTTCTCTGATGTCTCATTAGTAATCCTTAGCCTTATGGCTTCTATTTTTTTTTCTACAAGGACCAAAATCATGCCATTTTGCCACTGCTGTATATACCAGTTTATACTGCATGTTGTCAGCAGTAAAAAAAAACATGTAATATATGCTAAGAGTGAACACAGCTAGCCCTTGCCTTTAAAGCCACCAGAAGGAATGTCAGTAAGTGAATATCAAATATGAGCCGAAGCTAGCTTGTCTGCTACTACAGCCCCTTGCCTCCATGAGCCATGTTTGCTAAAGTGCACCTTCTGGTAGAAAGGCAAGGGTTAATCCAGGAGTCCCACATCCAGAGCACCGTGTGCTTAAATGGGGAGTAGGCATAACAAAAAAAACTATGTATGTATACCCATATGTCCGGGTATGGCGTATTGGTATATTTTCAATGGCAATAAACATGACTGCATTCACATTATCACACGTTATCTCTTATTTGTGTTGTGTTTGTGGATGATGACACTGGACCTCTCGGTAATCTTGCTTGAACACATATCTGAAATACCACAATAGACTAGAACAGTAGAATTGTTTAAAACCAGTGCATTTTATTTAAAAAAGATCCTTGAGCTCCAGTCAAGTCTCTTTGCCTAGAGTGCAATGATGATATCAATTTGTTACATGAAAAAAAAACATGTATTAATGGAAGGAGAGCCAGACCAAAGGATAAATAATTTATTAGTTTAAAACTGGTTCTTATGTTAACTAAAGCCCTGATGAAGGAGGAGTTTTTTCTGACCCCTGAAACTCAGTTGTTATTAGTGTAAACTAATAAATTAATTTGGACTCTTATTATTTGAGATAAAGGAAAGTATAAAACTGCAGTGAGCGCTCTCAATAATTAGCAGCTGAACATTCAAGGAAAACGCATAAAAGTCCCAAGAAATATATATATGTAAAATGCAGCACTATTAATATATCATAAGTGGTTGTAATGGTATTAATAAATGAATAATAATAATAAAACACAGTCCAGTAAAAGGTGCTCGTTGATTCCCGGTGCAAATGGTAGAAATGCGCACTAACCAGAAGCATATAGGTAATATGTATGCTGTGGTAGTGTGTATGCTCATACACACTACCACAGCTAATCTGAGCACAGGCAGCCCTGACTGATTCCTGTGTCAGCTCCTGAGAGGGGGAACTACATCTTGGCAAAGATTTCTCTGACCTGCCGGACCACATCTTCACCACACGAGGGCACTTGATCTTCATTCTTTCCAGTTTTTCCCGTGATCAGACCAGAAAGGAGAGGGGAATCCTCAGGATATTTACTCACATGCGGATTACCTATACGCTTCTGGATAGTGCGCATTTCTACCATTTGCAACGGGAATCAACGAGCACCTTTTACTGGACTGTGTTTTATTATTATTATTAATTTATTAATACCACCACAACCACTTATGGTATATTAATAGTGCTGCATTTTACATATATATCTTTTATTATATGGTTTGACACTTCTTCCATTAGTTACATAGTTGGTCTGGCTGAAAAAAAGACAAAAGTCCATCCAGTGATTTTTTTTTTCCAACAACCTTCTGGGGTACCCACCGGAGGGTAGCTTTATCTGTTGTAAGCAGCCTAGCCTGAGCCAGTGGGCTCTCCATATGTTTTTGTTCTCTCATTACTTTGTATGAACTCACATCAAAGGCCCAGCTCCTCTTGGATGCTTTTTTTTCTTCATCAGTTTGCTGCAGGCAGGAGAGAGCATTTTTTAAAGTCTCCTTTCCCCGGTGATGAGTAACTTTGTAGCAAGTCACATGGTGAGAGGCTGCAACAGGATCTGATTTGTGTCAGGCAATTGCAGGGGCGGACTGATCATTTGGAAACTCATGCACTGCCCAAGGGCCCGGGGTCAGTAGGGGGCCCCATGAGATGCCCCTGGTACCTTTTTCATAGGCTTTTTTGAGTTTGGGTAAGGACACAGGGGCCCCATGATCCCCTATTGCCCGGGGGCCCCATGAGTTGCCAGTCCACCCCTGGGAAATTGTGTTCACAGTCCAAAACACGTAGCAGAATTCGCAGGATTGTGCCATCTCTGAGCCAGAATCTCAGCCCAGTAAGTAGATGGTGAACCCAAATGAAGCATCTTTCTGGAGAAAGAAGCAGATGAAGATATTGTCATGGGGAGCACTGTTACACCTAGCATAAGTGCACATAAAAAAAAATACCTCTGATGCTAGGTACACTTTAAAGCGCTACAAGTTACACGTACATATACAAAAATCTATTTGGTGGTATTGTGCTGAGCTTTTA